TTTTGAACTTGCAATAGAATGTCCACCATGCTGGTCAAGAAAGTTTGAAGAAAGATAAGCAGTTCATATGGGTTACTCACTATTAGCGTGCTGGTCAACATCTTGCCATACTTTCTTAATCGTGCGAACGAACTTAAGATCTAATTTCAAACATGAGTTAGAAGTAAATTTCTTATTTGATTGGAAGGAATACTAATAGACATAACTTGCAATGGTAAAGATTGAATCGATAAGGAAAAAAAAAGAAAGAAATGGCGTTTTAGGCCTACAATACAAACATAAAAAGCTGATCTTAGAATCCATAAAAATTTGGAGAAACTCCCGTCTCACCTTATTATTTAGTAATTCATCTATTTATATATTTAACCATACCCAATGCGGGCAACGAATCATACATTAACATTTACGTACTCTGAATAAGTCATTTCTCGAAAGACTGTAGCTGGCCCTGAACTAAAAAATGAATAAATCTGGAGTCTAGCGAGTATGATTTGGATACATCACCCTGGGATATCAAGTTATGCATCATATTTTTTTCATGAACTGTAAACTACTTTGAGGATTCCTTTAAAGATCTATACGCGGCTCCATTTCCGCCGTTTCGAATCTGTTACAATTATAACAAAACAAACGCGCCGATTGTGAGTTTGTAAATATCTTGAAATTGATTACAGTCGTGAAAGGTGTATTTCCTAAAAGCATTGGTTTAGAACTTGGGATAAATTAATTGTGTTCTTTATTACAATATTCCATATACTTTTAAGTCCAACGTGTTCCTACTTATCTCGAAAATAATCTTTAGTTATTAATTCAATAGATCCATTCGCATGCCCATATAAATGAAATTGTACAGTATTCTCATCAGTGCCAACCGAGATGATAACCTCACATAAAAACTAATTTATCTATCCTTTTCTTTTCAAGGGTATGTTGCTGCTGCTGGCAAGTGGTCTCATGGCTGCCCTGGTTGTTTTCTTCCTTGAGCTAAAAGTGGCCAGGATCACCATTCACCAGACAATCACAAACAGCACGTGAATACAGGGTCTATATTATATACATATACTTACATAGACCTTACTTGAATATGCTAGTTAACAATTCATGGAGTTCATTATATACGATTTTCTTTCTAAATCTGAATACCCTGCAAAAAGCGGGTTATAATAATGTAGTTTTATTTTTTTCTGTCTATTTAAGTATCATAGAATAAAAATTATTAAGAAATGTAATTGTTATTTAAGAGAATGTCTTCTTTTGAATCCTGATTATTCTCTGCATCTTTATCAGGAATGAATAATGTTATGTTATACATTTTTCATTCTACTGGTCTAGAAACAGTGATTCGCAATTTTTACATAGTCAGTTCCAGAATTGGTACCACCTCGCTATGCGCGTTCACGCAACATAATATGGAGATAGTACCCACGCCCCTCCCCCTGAGGCGCCTCTTCATGAGCCCCCAGATGTTCTCGATGGGGTTATGATGAGGGAAATTCCCCAGCAAGTCCGTGATCTTTTCAAAACCAACTCACTTAAGCAAGTCCTTTATTTCGACGTGGATGCCGGTGCACTGTCCTATTGGAACACATTGGACTGACAGTGGACAGTATTTGGGAAGGAGCTCCATGTTGCGGACCTCGATCAGTCATGTTCCTCGACAGGACAACAAGCTTCCCTGTCCCATGGTACCTGAAGGCACCCCAAACCATCACTGAATAAGGGTGTTTGACCGTGACATGCAAGTACTTTGAAGAGAATGGATCCGTGCCTGACCTCACCACACCGTTACTATATTTCCAGTCCGCGTCAGTCCACAGTATAAGCTCCCATCTCTCCAGGTTCCATTTCAAATATTTCTTGCAGAAGATAACTCTTTTCTGTCTTTTTTTTTTTGTGAGCATTTTTTTTTCGTAGCTGTTTTCATAAGAATGGTCGTCCTTTAGGCGCCGTTGAGTCGTATGAACGCTCACCCACAGGGATGTCCTGTTCCAAGAGCATCTTTGGCCAGAATGAGATGGTTAATAATTAATGGTTAAAAGCAAAATAAATGTGCTAGACTAAGGTCAAGCAGCACTATATGAAGGTACAGTAAAGGGTGGTGAAGGGTGGTTGAGTTAGTAGTTAGGTGCTATGCGTCAACTATCTAGAGTGATATTGAAAAGGTGGGTTAAGGAGTTGATGGGTGAATGGGTTACGGCCAGGTTAGGTAAGGGGCTTAGATCAAGTGAAGGATATGTATGCGTCTGAGGAAGGAGAAGAGGTTGTCAAAGCAGAAAGTGTGGGATTCTGTAAGGATGTCTGATAGGTTGTCAGGTCAGTGAAGAAGGATAGGTGGGAGAGAGCTATTACTTAGTTGATCTACGAGTGATAACGCCTACAATGCGTGTTGGAGATTTTGAAGGGGAAGGAGCTGGGGGTGAGATAAAAAAAATTGAGTGGGGGGTATAGTATCAGGAGGTGGAGGATCTGGAGAAGGGCATAGTTGCGATATGAGGGATTCACGTGTGCATCTAGGAGGGAGTGGAAGGAATCGAGGGGCTGGAGGGAGGGTTAATGTGGGTGTAGTTGGAGCTGGAGGATGGGCTGTATTGGGAGGGCGTAGGAGGATGGATATCAGCAGTCACTTTGAGTATGGAGGGAGCGGGAGTTGTGGAATCTGAGGATGGATGAGGGTTTTCGGTGTCATTTTGGGACTCGAACAGATAGTTTTGAATATCTTCGAGTTTCTGAAACGGTGTTGGTTGGGGAGTTTTGTGAGACAGGTTTTCTTATGAGGGGGGGGAGACTGGTGTCTGATGAGTAGAGACAAAGTTAAGTGGAAGTGAGTGTGTGTTAGAAGGGATGGAACGTTTAGTCTGCTGTGGGTAGTGCGGGAAGGGAGAAGGGAAGGTGTTTGGGCTGCAGTAGAGATTGGAGTGTCTGGATCTAGAGTGGCAAAAGAATTTGACTGGGGAAGGTAGGAGGTAGAAGTGGGGAAGTAAGATGTAGAAGGGATAGGTATAGGGGAGGGTGTAGGAACATCTTAGGACGGAGGGGAAGGGGCAGAGCGAGCGACATCACTGGAGTAGGGAGTATGAGAAAAGCCTCGTCGACGTGTTTCTGCTCTGGCGGAGTGAGACCAAGTCTGTATCTGAGAATTGATACCTCAGACTCAAACTTGTAGGTGGGCAGCCCCTATAAAATACATTATGGGGGCCGCCGCAGTCAGCATATGTGCATGACTGTGCAGAGCAGTTTGATCGGTTATGAACGGGTTGGGCACATAATGGGCATCGGGCTGTGGAACGGCATTGTTTGGCAGGATGTCCTAAACGCCAACAGTTTTGACACTGACGGGGAGGAGGTTGACATGATCGGACAGGGTGGGGGTTCTCCAACAATGTAAACATTAAAGGGAAGGTCATGTCTACAGAAAGTAATTTTGGCTATGTTGGTGGGGTTCTCACGATGAACTCTAGGAGGAAAGGAGTAGCACTGTACTGATAGTACATGATAGTGCGTGAGACAGGCGAGTAAGTCTTCTTCACAATCTGACCAATCTTTATTATAGATAAGGCTGTTTGCCGGGGAAATAGAGACAGTTTCGGTACAAGTACGAGGGTTGGATGAGGTTCCACAGGAATGACGTTGCCAGAGATATCTGCTAATTATATATATATATATATATATATATATATATATATATATATATATATATATATAATATGTAATATATATATATATATATATATATATATATATATATATATATAATATATATAATATATATATATATATATATATATATATACATATATATATATTTTTTTTCTCTCTCTCTCTCTTTCTCAGCAAAAATATCTCATTTATATATTGTTTATCTTGAATAATTATCATAAGTTACATATGGAGTAACAGAACAAAATGATATGTAAGTCCTCCCATTCTTATTGACAATGATACTTTGATGAGCATGAGAAATAGAAATGCACCAAGTTCTAAAAAAAAGGTAAATGAATCAAGCGCATATCAACTTAACTGTCTTTATTTCATATATTCACCCATACTTCTTCATGAAAATTACCTAACCAGTCACATTCAGTTGCCATTTGTTTCCAACATAATTTCCTGTTCGTGTAGTAAGAAAGAAGAGTATCGATGTCGAAAATGATAAATAAAGGAAAACATTCCATTTCCCTTTCTTATATCATTTTCAACTGTTACTTCCAAAAAAGAAAAAAAGAAAAAAGAGGAGATGATCTGGAGAGAATTTGACTTTAAAAAATGACAAAAAGTGAAAACATTTAATTTCTCTGAATGAAAAAAAGAAAGAAAGAAAAAAAAAAAAAAACATGTATTCCAAATGCACTTTTTTCTGAATGACATAAAAATATTATATACACACCGGTACATGAATAAAAAAACCTATGTATTCAAAAATTCTCAGAATGTAATATATGCCCTAAAGAATGCATTAGTAGAGAATTGTGAAAAATAAGAAGCTGTAAAAATGACAATAAAAAGCACATTCTACCAAATAGTAATGTATATTCCAAATAAAATAAAAAATCTTTCATATTCTGGTTTTCTTAATACAGTATTCAAATACTTCATATACATATATATAAAAATATGCAAACATTTGAATAAAATACAAAAATATCTGAATTTCCAACTGAAAGAAAAATGTACATATAAAAAATAAAGGCCAGAGGGGATTACTCACAATCCTCAATGACTTAGAGATAAGGAAGGTAAAAAAAAAAAAAAAAAAAAAAAAAAAAAAAAAAAAAATAATTAATAATAATAATAATAATAATAAATACATGGCACTGGAAGACAAAAATTGAATCTAATCTGCATTTTGTGCCTCTTGCGAAACAGTTGTCGACTGAGCTTCAAGACCAAATAAGTCCACATGCAGACAATAATTATCCGCTCTCCACTCTATCTATTATCATTTTCTTTATTATTTTCTGATTTTCTGTATCTCATCTTGCCTTACATTGCCTAAGATTACTCTACAGTGGTACACTACAGTCTTTTATTCACATATAACCACATCTATGTACATGTTTAATTACATTATTAGGCCTTTGACAGTCTGTATATTCCTGAGCATTAATAATTTTTCAAAAGTATGCACAGAACTAGTTGATATATACTGATCTGTGACATCTACTCCCCTGTATTATAATCTCTTTTACTTGTCTTTTCTTTGAAGTAGACCATTTCATCACAATCATTTCTGTTTCACATGAAATGGTTCAATCATACAAATTAATGAAAACCCTTTACTGACTAGTCATCTGCTATAAACGGCTTTAGATATCCTGAACTTTAAAATCTGTTTTATTTTTAGTCTTCCTCTTAGTTTCTATCCTGACCTTTCAAATCTGTTTTATTTTTAGGCTTCCTCTTAGTTTCTATCCTGACCTTTCAAATCTGTTTTATTTTTAGTTTTTCTCTTAATTTCTTTTTCAATAGACTGCATTTCAGTATTTCTTAAAAACAGCCAAGAAATGAACGGCATCTTCACAAACCCCTCTGGCTCAACACCCAAAACATAAGAACTAAACTGTAGCAACTTAATAGAGTACACACTCACTTAAATAAATAATAAAATAATAAATAATTAGGTAAGTCTTCAAAATACAGAATAATAATAATAATAATAAAAAAAAAATTATAAACAATGAAAAGAGAAAAGAAAAATTTAAATTTACATCCTTGTCATGGCTGCAACTTGGTTTCCAGATAATCTCATATCTTACATCCCTGATACTTATTCTTACATAAAAAAAGATAAACAGCATGCAATGATCCAGCGTCTAAAAACAAAATAGCTCGATCAACAACACAAAATACTTGAAACTTAATCAATTAATCCTTAAATTATGGATCTAAGGCAGAAGAAAGAGAAGGTCATTTTTTCTCATCTTTCCTTTATGATAACAATCCTGACAAAGAATCTGTATCAAGTTCCCTATGTTATCTTTAGGTCTATAGAAAAAAGTAATAACTAAGGACACTGCACAACAGTGTAAATTCCATTAAAAAGCAATTACAGTATTATAAAAGAATAATGATGATAAGAATAAGAACAGTATGGCATACTTTTATGACATGTGTTAGATGTTTTATAATCTTACAAACATATCCTAAACTGATCAAAGATGCTCACATTACAAACACTTTTTCAGCATCTCGAATATTGTAAGTTTGTCGTGTTCGTGGACAGACAATTGTTCCATTGTTCTCGTTTGCCATTTGTTGAAGAGCCTGAAAAAGAAATAACATCTTTAGCTGGAGATGGTGAGAATAAGTTTTTGATAATTTGATAGATATTCTGGATACTGTCAATCCTTATCTACATTTTTAAGTCCATAAATCTCCTATCTACATTCATACATAAATCCTTATCTACATTCAACTTATGGAAGCTCATAAATTTCTTTCTCAAGGGCACTAGCCTAGGACAACTTTAAACTATCTTAAGTTAATAATACATGATTGTGTGGGGTGGTGGAAAAGGTTACAGTAGTGTTCTAGAATGTTGGGTTGGATAACAACAGAAAAGAAAGTTAATGAGATACTGTATTATAATCCTTTGAAAACATTCAGAAAGCTTACATTAATGACCAATAATGTACATTCTAAATATATTTCTTTCTTTAAATTATTTGCTATATAACTCATTTGGACCCGAGTGACATGGATGGCTTGGTCATGAAAAAAATTGGCTGAAAGGCGGCTGATAGGAACTTCTCATCATGGAATAAAAATGGCCATGAGGTAGATAATATTTGCTGTGTTAAGTGATGAGGACCACTTATCATACATACAGTACAGAAAGGGCTCATTCGTGAGCTCCTGCAGAATTTCCACCAGCACATAAGGGTAAAATTACGAGCCCTAAATCATGCCTTGGAGAAGGCCATCACACAAAGGAACCTATTCCAGCCACCAGCCATTATCAGCAGGGTTGGATGTGTTACAGAAAATGGAATAGTATAAATATATAAAAGGCACAATGTTATTTGGTACTTCTATTTCACAGAGTAACTACTTAGAGAGATAATATGGAGTCAGCTCAACAATCATCTTGATATAGCTACAAATGACAGATACAGACATTGGTTAAATGGTCAAACAGCAAAAATTCATCTGTAGAAAAAGGGCTAATAGCATTGTAAAGAGGAGTCAATGAGCCTCAAAGCCATGTGTGAATGTTTGTGTGGCTTGGGCCTACAAGTCACAGATCCCTGAGATTATGTACAGATTTTGGTCCATCCACACGCCACATGGCACCCAGATCCAACAGGTTTATAACAAACCTTAAATAAACAGGATGCAAACACATCATATCAAACTTTTCGCTCTTGTCCCTCAGTTGACCAGAACAGAAATATAACTACTTCAGATATTCTCAAGATAACATCCTTATGTATGAAGAGAATTTCAAAACAGTATCTTTTTATTCAAATAACCTAACAAAATACAAAACCTGAAATTCCTCAAAAAGCAATCCAAGTGAACTAGCCCTAAAAAATCTTCTACTGCTACCTCATACTTTTGCTACAAATTCAAGATGTCTTCCTTATGTCTCACCTTCTGGCCGTAAACATATCCATTTGGCAACATAAGTGGCAGGTTGTTTTCATTGAGCTGGTCCCCACTTATGTGGCATACAAGTCGAGACTGTGAGCAGTGAGCATAAGGAAGAGGAGCCGCCAATGCATTTAGAGAACGCTGGCAAACAGGGCAGTCTGGGTTGTGACCGGTTGCACCCTGGAAAAAAATAATTATTACCCATTTTTATTTATTTTCATTTGATTATTATTATTTTTTTTACATTTATGATGTATATTTCAACATTTTGAACTTCAATCTTTGTAGTAGTATCAACATATACAAAATATTAACAAAAAAGAAACTAAGACTGTTTTCAAAGCTGATCTACAAATTACATTGAAGTACTAGGATAAGTGTGAGTGTATTTGCATATCTAGAGAAAATATGGATTTTATTTAAAGAGAAACAGTTACAAAGTAAAGAAAAAATCTGATATGCATCTCAAGGTATAAATATGTATATGCATATATTTTTTCACATCATAGCTAGGTACACATTCGTTGTCCTACCACAGATTATAAATGACTTTTCATATCACTTAATACCACTGATAAATTTCTTTACCCTGTAGCAATGTGGAGTTTTCAGCGCAGAAAGACCAGACTGAAGTACAACAGAAAAGGCAGACTGTGATGAAAGCTGGTACAACTTGAGGTTCTCTGCTCTAAACTGTTCAATCAGCTGATCCCATCGTACATCTGAGAGCAATTCTTTGTATGGGCTAACATCTGCAGAATGAAAGAAACATAAGTATCCTGGATTAAATACCTAAAACAGAAAACTACCTTCATATTCTGAATTAATCAGTATATGAAATAGCTAATGTAAATAAGTAAAACTCAAAAATATACATTAAAAGATGGTACAACCAACGCCAACAAAACTCGATCTTTTATAGTAACAAAATAGTTTGGTTATATAGTTTGGTTATAAATGCAAATGATAAAAACAATAATCTACGAAGACAATATTTCATACATTACAGCAAATCCTACTGTAAGTTTGAATACATAAATAAATAAATGAATTAAATAAGATTCTCTATACAGCATTTCAATAAAAAAAACACTGCTTTCAATAGTTAAATCTATATAAAGAAATAAAATATTCTGATAAAATGAAACCATAACCTACTATGATATACAGATGAATAATACCTACCAGTGCCAGACGGAAAGGCAATAAGTGCCATACACCTTTGTATAGATGGTAAATGAGCTGGATCCTGTCCAGTGAAGTGCTTTCTTGCATGTCTGAAACAAATTAAAAATTCAGAAATCTGATTTATGTGACATTAATCTAAATTTGGCAAGTGGACATGATCGTACGACTGTTGGCACACATTGACAGTTTTCCCTGTTTGAGCCTGGCTCATTTGGTAGTTTGTGAGCAAAATTAGGCACTTAAAAGCTTGTATTTTGATATAATTTTTATAAACATAAATATTTTGAGGGTTTAGCTGCACTTCCGGTGCCATTGCCTGAAAGTTTTACCATAGAAATGATGTCGCAAAATAAGCTCTGTCCGATTAGCCGATGGTGCAGGAATGGTCGTGATAAGATGCCATCTGCTACTCTGTCCACTATTAGCCATGCATGGTCCACTATTCACTATTCACTGTCCACTATTAGCCTTAGCCTTGCTTGCCCAAATAACTTTCTTCCCCTTGAGCAATTCCGGCGAACTCACCCCTTTGTCATGGCCGAAAGAACTGACACCCCAAAATACAGAAGCAGGCACCTGCCCAGGACAGAAGTAGCAGAACAAAAGGGCATCTCGACAGGCAGACTAGGTGAGACCAGAGAGACAGGAGAACTAGAGCAGATGCAGAAGAGGGCAGGTCACTCTCCGCCCTCGGCACAAGGGGCACGGGTCTCTCATGGGACCACACCTTTCCTCCCCCAATATACCAGGAAGCCAAGAGCCTTTCATTCACCAACTCTAAGCCTACAACTTCTTCACAGCTTGTATGTACAGGCCACCCATGGACAAAGGGTCAACAATCATCCCAGCGAAATATATATATACTGTTCACAGTTTCTTCTTCTTCATCTTTATACATAAATGATTCAACAAGCACTCAGGCACAAAGAGTCATGTACTAGACCTACCTAACCTCAATTATTTACCATATTCCATGATTTTTTTTTTTAATAATCATTCATACTAACATTACTATAATAATTGTTAATATAGTAATAATAATGATATTAATAAGAATCATAATAGTAATAGAAATAAATGCTATTTCCATCAAAAACTCAAGGAATAGGGTAAACAGATAAAGTCCACTAAGGCCTAACAATTGAACCTCTTTGTAACTAAGTTCTTGAGGAATCATCTGTAAAATATAATATATTTAAAACCAAACCATAATGGACATTGT